AGAAGTGGCTGTCATAATTTCAGATTGGATCCTATTTGATAGTAAGCACGAGGTGAATTCCATATGATGATGAAAATTGGACAAAACGAAGCTGGTGTAGAATCTTCGACGAAAAGACTGATCAATTTCTTCGCGGCCATCTGCTATTCGTCGATTTACGTCGTGATTGTGTGACATAAATATTCAGCACATCAATAGTTGAATATAATTTCAGCCGACAACCAGCAATGGAAGCTCAATGCCTGTAGGACAGAAGCCGAAAATCTTCGATGACAAGCCACTTATTTTTGGTGAGTGATCTAGATCCTGTTTGCATTGCTTTTTACATCCAAGTTTTTTTCTTTTCAAAAATTACCAAATCTACACAGTAATAGTAATAATCAGTCTGGTTCACTGAATGCTTTCTCTTATCTGGTTATGCTGTGTGTTTCCGCACGCTCTTGTCCAGGTGCGGCACCAGCACGGTGGATAGCTGTGTGCTACTAATTGGGTGCTTTTGGGAGTGCTCTCATGATATCACAATGGTGAAGGTTGCGAGAGTGACTGCTTCCTAGTTGCGATAGCGGTTAATTCTCTTATCAACTCTTTTATCACATTCACTAGTATAAAGATGCTCTGGAGAGAAGGTAAGAATGACACTTCGGCTAATGGACTCGCAAATTCAGTCGTCTTGGTTGACACAGTTAATCCCAAGAGGGGCTGTTTTCGCTGCAACTAAAGTTTTCGAGACAAGGACGACGCTTGCTATCTCAGGATATAGCTCTGCTTTTTTGTCATAATTGAGCGAGTGGAACGTCTATTTCAAAGAAGTTTTACCAATAGTTTTGCGACTTTGTTGACATTTTGTGTAGGGTATGAGAAAATTAGTCAATTCCTCTCGTTCTGGGCGTATTTGGACGTCGTAGCCTACGAGTAATACGTATTCGTGAGTCATAATCATCGCTAATCAATAATCATGAAGTCCTATTGTTGGCATGGATGAAAAGTATTCTGGAATGCTTTTGCGACGTAGGAAAGTTTAATAAAGCACATTGTAATTTTAAAGAATTTGGCCTTCAGAATCAGGAAGTTTTCTCATGTTTTTTATTTATTAGTTTAGTCGCATTAGTTGGTTTTCTCTCTCTCTCTCTTCGCTTTTCTGTAGCATCGCAAGCACCAGCGGACCTGCAATAGAGACTGTACAACCCTATACTATACATGTGATCAATAAAAAAGGAGGTTCATTGATTAGTGCGATAGAACTGAACGATACGTTTCGCGAAAAGCTCAGGGCGAGTTAAGGTTAGTGAGCCGCAATAGGGGGAAGTTCGATTATCAAAACAACAAATGCGAGCAAATATTCAGAAATATCGGATTCCACGTATTTGGTGGGCGTTCCAATTTCATTCGCGTTGTCAATTTTGAAGTGTTCCTATTGCAGCTGCATAAACTGAATTGTAATTTCATTCATGTGCTACCGACAGTGTCAATAATTGTGTTAAAAGGTGGATTACAGTGCATTGTTCCCAATATTTTCCTTCTCATACCTTGAGCTTGGTATACCCCAATGGTTACTCGTCTAAGAAATACATGGACCCAACAGTTTTCCTTATACTAGTCACACTTTTACGCATTCGTGTACTTCACATCGTTCTTCGTTTCTTCTCTTCCGCTATACGGCAAATCAATTTTTCGAATCCACAGTGTGAAAAAACTCATCTCCCCCAAAACCAGTGTAATGTGATTTCTTTTCATGGTTTTGTTGAGTTCCGTCAGAGGATCAAACGATATGTCTCGGTAAATATTGAAATACGGTTACCCTCATGGTTTGCTTTGCACAACCCTTTTCTGCCTCAGGACGCCACTTAAAGAAATGGCACTGCTGTTGCATATACGTTGACCTTGTAGTGCGCTATGCACTGGAACAGAAGTTGAAAAAGTTATAACGAGTTATAACCATTCTTGAAGACGTCTCGGGCTAAATCACACAAATCTCTACCCGAAGAAATTCTGAGTTTTTCGAATTGTACTCTCTGGGAAGCATTACAGTACCCCTGAACCACTCATGTGTTAATAACTGAAGACGGATCATAACGAGGAAAATTTTTAGATCCGGCATGTGTCAGTTTTCAGTTTGTTAGGACGCATTATTTTCCCTTCAAAAGCATGTAATTGGAAAGAACTGGGACGCTATAAAGTCTAAGAGTTGTTCCTTCCAAATAGACGTTGGAGGTTCTTGTTCATCCCGGTGTTTATCCCGTCGCAAGAAGTTAAAGCGGAACAGTTGTATTTTCTCTTAATTATTTAGTCCCTTCATGCCATTTCTCGCAGACTTCTCCGAAAACCTCCTTTAAGCCTTTCTTCTCACACTCGGACTTTTACATGGGATAGGTATTGAGGCGTGGTGCCGTTGGTTTGATCGAGTGTTCAGGGAATGCGCCATGCGCTTTGTACCAGCGATATGCTGTGCCATTCATGTTTTTTTTTTCATTTTTGAATAAGCTCCCTTCTCTTCTTTTATTAATAAGCTTCTCTGTTCACTGCTAGCCCTATCATACAGTGACATACGTTTCTCTTCCCAGCAGACCAAATGCTCCCTCAGTCGATGATTCTGCGGTGCACACTTGACCTGGTCCGTTCCCTCTCTTAGGTAATTTATCGTACAACAATCACTGACGGCGACGAAGAGGAAGGGCCCTCGCTCTCACGGACTGCGACCAGAATGGCTGTGCTAGTCAGTTCAACTTATTGGCGTGATTGAGAACATTCTGGTTTTTCCGTCATTCGGAGACAAGCGAAAAGTTCGAGTAGTCTGCAACAGTTGGTTTTCCAAGAACAAACAACCTAATTCGGGATGTAGGTTCTGTCGGAAAAGTAAGAGAAATTGGTAGCACATAGGAACACATGCTTTGAGTGAACTATTCCACATTTTGCTAAGATTAATTTCCAAGAAAAACAAGCATGGCTGATTCATTCCAGCTTCCTGTTATGTGTGCTTCCACATTTGAAACTGACGATCACCTTTGCTAAATTCATACCGAATGTTCCCATCTTCAAAAATTGGAGAGCATCGAATTCAGTCAACAACCTCAAAATACCCTTTTACACGAGCATCAAGAGAATCTGCTAAAGGAATGTGGTGGAAGACTTGATCAACGAATTCCTTGACGGATCTTGGACTGCATTTTACAGTAAGATTTCCATCTGGCCATGGACGATGCGGCGAAAAATTTGTTGGTGTATGTCATGGACAAAAGTTTCTGTTTTGCCCCGCTCCCTGTTTACTGCCTAAATGTATGCCTTCAAGCTTCTGAATGCTTCAAAAACTTTTTAGAAGAATAGTTGCTGGAAGTTTACATTCTCAGTTGCTATGAAATCTAAGGCGGCGAAATTATTGCTATATATGCTTTCAATATGATTATAAGCCGTTGCTAGGGGAGAGATGTGAGCAGCTACCACGTAGTCAATAATAGTGTCCGTTCCGGCTTTGAGAATGTTTCCCAACGCTAGATTGATACTTCAAAGATTTTCCATGCGAGCAATATATTTTGCGTGCATTCTGAAATTTCTATGGTCTGATTAGGTTTCTAGACGCATTTTAACATTAGTATGCATGAAAAATGTGCTACCTAATAGCAGCCGAGCAAACTAAAGTACACAAAACCTCTGTGGTGCCAGCTTCGTTGCGCAAACTTCTAAACGCTCATTCGGGACCTCAGCTATATGAAAAAGGCGCCGGAATTTTTCAGTTTTGGCCGTGCCTATTCTAAGTGTCTGATCTCGCATCGACTCCAACCATTTCCCTCCTGAAATTCTAGAAGCGATCCTCACGTGTTGCTTGAGAATAGATTCTCTTCCTTCGCGTTTCCCGACAGCGTGCATCGCTCCTTAACACTCCTTTACAATCTGATGCTCTTTCGCCACCATTTCCTGGTTGCTAGACTATGTGGGAACCACGTTGAGAAAATTGCAGTAAGTTCAAGAGTGCGCCTCACCTTATCGTATGCGGTGTACAGATTAACTCATGTGAGCTCCTTACATCTGGGCCCATGCTCCACTCTTTTCAATTTTTAAACTGACTATTGCAGCTGCTTTCAATTACAACTTAATTTGTGACTTGCAACGATACATAGCACTCCATATAAGGTAAAACAGGGCTGACCACTTTAATAGTCTGCTTCTTTTTTTGGATTAGTTATCCTTCTTTAGTTCGCACCAGCGGCGTTATTGTGAAATATGAAGTCGTGAGTTGGCAGAAATGTTTATCTATGGTGACGAACAGTTCGGCCTTAATCAATATTCGCGACGTGGCTTTAACAGCAAAATACCTATTGATGCTCATGAGTCACTTGTAAAGGCAATTTTGTCCATGTACTTCAGTCAGATGTTCATTGATAGGGTGTGTGGGATCATAGCAATTAAGTTTGATGGTTTTTCTATTTTCTTTTGTCGGAGTGAAGTTGCATATGACCTGCGCGTATCATTTGTTTGCCTATCTCACTCTCCGCATACTGCAGGCATTCGTTCTAACGCGAAATAGGCAGCAGGCGAGCTCCGACGGAATTTCACCTCTACGCACTTCTGTTCTTCTATATAAGTGTATAAGCAAATAACACTCACTAAATATCTTTGAAAATTGTGTTTGAATAGTGGGTTATAAATCTCCGTATCTTTTTTATATTACTTAGTTTCTTAATATTTAATTATTATTCCTTTTTTTTCCGCCCGGACTTGTAAGTGTAACCGGTGTGTTGTTCATACCATGGGTTGATTTTGGTATTAGTCACATTTCTCCCGCGATGACGGCTTTTCTATACAGGACTGAATAGGCTTTCAGTGATTGAAACAATCTTTCCATTGATTCGTATTACATTCGTTTTTCTTACACCTTCGCCAATCCTGTTGAGAAACGATTCCAGAGCATAGACTGCATATTACCACTTTTGAAAAAGTTTCGTTGGGATTTATCCCGCATAGTGTCGTAATGGTTTCGGCAGTTATCGCTACAAGATAACGAAACTATGTACACCATAGATAATGAGTCAACATTTCCCTATGTGATGGAAACATCACCAGAAAATCACCCCGGTGAGAGAACTGTTTTCATGGTAGTCCATCCATTTGATTTTAAATTCATTATTAGTAAAACTTTTTACGCATTGTTTAATTTACAGACGATGATGCTAGCAGTCATAACAACGTACCGAATGGCGGAACTTCGTCTCCAAGTATGTTTGCTAGTCCTGTTCCCTCTCTAATTTGCTCTTTAACTTATTCTTTGATTTGTCCAATTATTTTTGGTTTTGGTGCAATTTAGCTCAGATTCGCAACTATTTGACTCTAGGTAGCAGTGCCCATTTTGAAACCAGTGGTTTAATTTCTTTTTATCGCGATTGTGCTCTGCACAACCAATTTATTGTTTCCCAACTTCCAAAGTAATAAGGAAAATGGAGATCTCTTCTAACCAGGGAAGTCGTTCAGAGAGAGGAAGCCAAAGCTTTTTCAAAATGTTTGTTGCATGAGATAGGGGCATATGTAAACGTTTAGAAAAACGAACCACGTTATGTGGGAACCACATAACGTAGTTCGTTTTTCTAAACATCCCTCTGAATACGAAAAAGAGGGTGATGAAGTGGTCCGTGGTTTGAATTCTTGCGGTGACAAATGTTTGCACTTTGAGTTAGCGCTCCAGAATTTGCAAAATGACGTCAGCGCCAAGAGTGGATGTCATGTTCATAACTAGAACCATCAGCAACCTTACAAATAGCCTTCGACCAAAAACTGGTGATGGATTCGTTTCGCCAAAACGGCACCAATTTGGCACCTAATGGCATCATAGCGGCACCAGATGACGTCTGCGCCAAAATGAATGTCGGAATCGTAATCAGGGCACTATAACTCTTACAAGAGGTTTCAGAGAAAATAAGATTTTAACCCAATTTCGAACAGTTGGACTATAGATAGTAAGTCCATAGCCGTCAGGCCTGACGGTGGATGATTTGAAGGCAGGTCTCCTTGTTATCTAGAATCGCGCTCCAGAAATAAGCTGGTGGTGGCCGAGTGACCACGCACGATGATCAGGTCGCTAGGTCTCCTCGCGTCAAATAGTGGTTGGTCGACTTTTCGGCCCTACCACTGCCTATGAGGGCCTCTTGTTGGTAGCTAGATCAACTTCAAACAACGCAACAAAGTGTGAGACGTGTACTATAGGGAGAAAACTTTGACCTCAGTGTATATCACAAGAGGGTATCCCTATTTTATGCTCCGAGCTCGCCTCCAAGCCGTCCGCTACACACGTCGGGTTGTCCCTACGGCCGTCCAACTTTTCGAAGTCGAGTCAAAATCTCGATTTTCCCCAAAACTTTGGTGTTGGGGTTAGATCAGCGCCCTGATCACGAAGATGCATTCTTTCACTGGTGCCAGCGCACTTTGGCGTCATCGGGGCCGCGACGTGTTTCCCCAGTTGTCGAAGAAAACTCGTCTTAATGGGGGTCATTTATGACCCTGATTTTGAAGATGAAGTCTAACCTAGAGATAGTACCATTTGGCACTCACGCTGAACGCACCGTGCCAACTAGAGTACATCGCGTTACCCACTAGGCCACCGGGTCTTCAGCACTCTGGCACCATTATTCCTTATGAAACCATGACACTTCCTTAAGCACATAGCTTGGCAAACGCATCGTTTTTTTTTCTCGAAGTTCGCGGTTTTTTTCCAATGTACAGGTAGCGAGAACCCTCTAGTATAATATTAATCAACGTTGTAGACTTTATGTGCTAAAATGAAGCAGTAAAAACGACAGTTCCCAAAGGGAAATTTTCTTCGCCCCTTTTTGGTATTCAGAGAGGCCATTCAGGAAAAATGAACCATGGTTTTGTGGTTCCTGCATGTGCCCCTATATCATGCAAAAAACCGTTTTGAAAAAGCTTGGCACACCCTGAATGACCTCCTTGGTAAGATTTCAAGTGTCAAACAATGTGCACATGCGTTTCCTTCACCTTGTGTTTTATAGGTATTGAGTTTGCGCAATCGCGGCCAAACGGCCTTTCAACCATCTCTGGAGTGTTCGCTCCTGTTGCATTGTCAATGTTTAGTATCCTGCTCTTCATGAGAATGGGTGAGTTGCTTATCTTATGTGAACTTAACTCACGACCGCGTCTGTAAAATTGTGTACATTTTGATTGCTCGATACGATCCCTGCAGCAGTATGAGTAGTAATACTGGGAAGTGTGCTGAGAACTCGAGATAGTTTTGGTTAGTAATGAGGGCATGTTCATGAAAGCTTCTAGATCCTAGTTTGGTTGTCGTGGCAAATGACTTCAGAACTTATCTGCTCGGTTTAGTACTGCCAGGTCTCCTAGGAAAAATAGAAAGTTAGCAGCTACTGTTCCATTGTGAGCGAGAGTTCTTGAATGTAAGGCATCTTTTCTAGGATTCGTCGTGGGGCAGCTTGGCTTCCTGATGACTGTTGTACAGTTATTAATGGCCTACGGGATTGTGATGTTGACAGTGCTGTCTCTTTGCGCTATCTCATCAAATGGAGCGGTGGAAAGCGGAGGAGTTTACTGTGAGTGCATAACCTTACCTTCATCTACTAGAGATCGCTTTTTGAGACTGTTTTTTTTCTTTAATTCACTGTTCCTGTTTCAGATATGATAAGTAGGTCGTTGGGGCCAGAATTTGGTGGTGCTATTGGTGTTTTATTTTTCGTAGCTAACGTCTTTTCTTGCGCTCTGTATATATCAGGATTTACAGAAGCGCTACTCAATAACCTTGGTGGAGGGCGTGAGTGTCTCAGATCACATTCGCTCTTTAAGATGATTGTTCTTATATCCGATGTGCGAAATTACCCAGAATTTTTTTAGTTTTCGATTCATTCTTCCAGAATTTCCTGACTCACCTATGTGGCGATTTTTATATTGTGTGCTGGTTTCCATCATCCTCCTCATTATCGGCTTACTTGGCGCTGGCATCTTCGCCAAAACGGCATTATTCACTTTCATCTTAATCTCGGTGATTTTATGAGCATTGGTTCTTTTTTTTTGCTTTTTTCTTCCAATTCCTTAGATTATTATCGTCCTATTTGTTCAAGATATGCTATTCTACATGGCTAATTTCTGTGATATTCGATGGAGCTATGCAAGTGCCTATACCGAAAGTAAACACTCCCGCTTATCGCGTCCATGAGAATGCTTCCGATCCCGGAAGCCCTATGATTGTGCAGTTGAATCAGACTTTAACGGCCAATTATACTGGATTTAGGTGTGTACGAGGGGTCTGCAGTATTATGTGTATTGGCTTGGATCATCTTGTACACTTCACTGAAATTGTTCCTTTAGTTTTCGAACGCTCGGTGAAAATATGTTTACGAACTACACCATGGATTATACGACTGAACGACAAACCGATTTTGCATTGATGTTTGCCATTATTTTCTCGGGTGTCACTGGTAAGCGCGTAAATTTTTCTGAACTCGGAAATTTTCTTCCCAAAACCAACAGATAACTAAATCAGCTTTTTTCTTGTTTCGGACGCTTTGTCACCAAATAATCAGTCGCGAGTGAAGGGTTGTTTGGTTCGAGCTGGATTTCATCCAGATTTCTGGATTTCATCCAGATTTGACGACTCCGTGAGATATGCGCATGGCATGCTGCGCCATATGTCACTGCACCGCTCTGCTCCGTTTATACCATACGCGTGATCACAGGCTTCTGGACTACTGGCAGTTGTTGAACGCAATGTGACATGAGAAGAGATAACTTAAAGCTAAAAATCGATGCTTTTCGTCTGTGGTACTTTCCAGTGGTCTCAGAGTTGCTTGTTAAGGTCTAATGGCTGGTGCGAACATGTCTGGCGAATTGGCTCGTCCTTCAGTCTCAATTCCTCGGGGCACTGTGCAGGCGGTCTTAGTCACGTTGCTCATTTACATTATGACTGCATTTTTGATGGCTGCTACATCGAGTAGATATCTTCTTCAGAACGACTACACTGTATGCGGAATATTTCCTTTCGACTTTCTGCACAGATACTATTACTATATTTCTGTATTATTTAGGTAATGATGGATACAAATTTCCAAAGATGGTTTATCCTCATTGGTATTTTTTCTACTACACTGTTTTCCTCTATGAGCAACCTTATAGGTATGTTTTTTCCCTGAAGTGTTTTTATTGCCATTGATTAATGAGAGAAGTTTGACAGCTTCTTTGAATTAGTACTATTGTGCCGTTAATGGTGCAGAAGTTATACTTTGATACACAGAAGGTTGGCCCCTTTGGGGACCTTCGCAGAAAAAAAAAGATAATCGATCATCTCGCTAAAGTGCGACACCAGTGATGCTCTTGATCAAAGCATGTGACGTGGGGAATTAGTACTATTCCATAAGCGTAAGTCCGTAGTCTCAGCTACTCACACTAAGTGCATTGGAAGGGGTCGAGCAGAAGAGGTTAAAAGAAGTATACAGCCAGAACCCCAACCGTGTGGTTTGACGCAAAATTTGCTAAATGTTTCATGTTGTTGTTGGTGGTCTCCGACCTTGCACGTTCTCTGATCTTATAGAGAGTGCGATGTGCATGCGAATGTTGAAAACAAAATGGCCAACAAAGTGGAAAGCCACTGGTAGTTCGTGCGCCGTTATTGTACAATGTGTGAAAGCAACAATGGTCTAGACATGACTTTACCCCCCCCCCTCCCCCCTTCCTTGACAGTTATGCTGAATTAGTTTAGTTGACGATTATAATGATAATCTATGCTGGACTTGTCTGCAGCGCAGCTTCTTTTTTTCCTGCTCTAAAGTTTGATGCAAATTGTCAAGTTGTGGAATATTTTATTACCCCATGGATACAAAAGACGTGAAATCACTTCAAGGTGTTTAATTGGCAGTTTGTCCAAATCTAGATATTCTAAAGTAACATACGCCGGCTAGCGTCGCGGTTAGCTTCGGTGTGTAGAGCGATACCATTTGGACTGCAAAATTCTTTTATTCTAGTATCTGCCCTGACGCACGCTTCGCTTACAGTTGAATCCACTCTTTCAAGAGTCTTCATTCGTTTCGTTCCTGTCTCTTAGCTGTTTGGAACAAGTTGAACTTGCATTTGTAGGACGCCGCCACTTCAGCTGCCCTATCACGATCATTTTACAACGTTTTCCATCGCCAGGGGCGGGCTTCAGGTGACGCCTATTCTGTAACATACAGACAATCAAATATGAAAGCAAATGGACAGACGAAGTGTTCCTTTGATGAAATGGGCTTCCTATATGTCATATCGATAGCCTCAATGTTGGTGATTTCAGGATCGTCTCGCGTCCTCAATCGTCTCTCACATGACAAACTTTTTGGTTGCCTCTTAAGGCCGGCAAAGATAGAGATTGGGGACCGAAATCCTGTGGTTTCGGTCATCATAACATGGCTCTGCGTAGTGGTTGTCGTTTTTTTTTTTTCACATGTTTCATAGTGTCTTACGCCGAATTTTAAAGGGAGTTTTCTTGGTTGGAGCAATGAACAAAATTGAACAAAATTGCAAAGCTGACCTCGATATTCTTCCTTCTTTCGTACATGGGAGTCAATATTGCCTGTCTTGCGCTCGAGCTCACAAGCGCTCCGAATTTCAGGTAGTTCTGTTTTATCAGTATGTTATCCTCATTTTACAACGCCCTGTGATATTCATTCTGAAATATTAGTTGTCCGTTGAGTAATATTTGGTTTTTTAAGTAGGAACATTTCCTATTAGACTCCAACTTTTTTATAAAGTAATATGTCATTTGAAAAAGAATCGTTCGCTCTACAAGTGAGATCGTGCCTGTTTTCCAAACAGTGCTGAAGTACAGGTTTGCAAATTGGCAGGTGAAATAGACGGGACGGAGGTAACAAACGAAAACTGACGTGATGTTTGGAATTGGTCGTAACAAAGGAGTGCCTCCTGCATATGATTAATTTTTCCGCACTTTTGAGAAAAAAATTGTAGTAATGTCGTCATTCTCATTGACACACACCTTATTAATTAAGCCTAAATCCTACCATTATCACAACGACGTGTTAGCAAAGCGTGTATCCGAATAGAGCAAAAGTGCGCTTACGAATGAGGTGAAGTTGTGTAAACATAGATTTTCAGAGGAAGTTATGGTTTGATAAATTAGAAGTGGATTTCAAAACAACGATACAGTTTGTTGAAACATCCAATAGTGGAATATATATTGAAAACAAGTCGTGACTGATGGAGGGTACTCACTGATTGATTTCTTGGAGGAGCAGAGAGTTCGAGTTGGTCGTCGGTTTGGCTGCTCTCCGTCTACTGAACCTCCCAATTTGCAAGCATGTATTTCAGTCACTTAACAATGTTCATGAAAGAGGTACAATGTGCTTTATAGGGCGAGCATTTCTCTTCCTAATGACATATGATATTGTGAAAACTTGGGGTCTTACAGCAAAATTTTTCATTCGAAAAAAACCGACACTGTGTACCTATCGAAAAACCTAATGTATTTTTCATGACTTGCATTTTTGTCGATTCGAAAAACTTGTTGTTGCATATTTCAAACGCGAGTTGTGTGTGGAATCAAATCAGTTTCACGATTATTACAGAATTTTCGGTTTCTCCAGAAACTACAGTATGTAGGGGAATCTTGAGAGTTGGTGAAAATATTATAGTATCATAAATTTTATCTTATTGACCTTTTTGTAGGCCTACATTCAAATATTTTGCCTGGTGGACGTGCGCTCTTGGCGTGATTTGCACCACAACGATGATGTTGGTAGTAGATGCGTCGATGAGCGCGATTGGTATTGTGGTCCTAATGTCACTCATTATGGTGCTGCATTACCAAGTGAGTTCTCTTTGCCAGTCATGGCTATAGATTCATTTTTCGAGAAGGAACGACAGTATTATTCTAATTTTAATTCTAACTATATGTTGTTCTTCCAGGCGCCAACAGTATCGTCCGGTTCAATTTCACAAGCGTTGATTTACCACCAAGTCCGAAAATACCTCCTTCTATTAGATGTCCGAAAAGAGCATGTCAAGTATGTAGCCAACAGTTCCTCATGACTGGATCAGAAATATCAACGTGCTCATGCTTATAGGTATTGGCGCCCGCAGATCCTGCTTCTTGTTTCGAGGCCTTCTTCTTCGTGCCCACTGATGGATTTTGTCAATGATCTCAAGAAGTCTGGGCTTTATGTTATCGGACATGTGCGGAAGGGCGAGCTAGATTCAACGCAGGCTGTTGATCCACTTCAGCAAGTTTGTCAAGCTATTTTTCCACAGTTTTGTAAGGAATTCACCGCTTTACACCTTCCTTCATACTTTTTTCTCAAGGTGTTTCCATATTGGTTGTCTCTGGTGGATTATCTGAAACTAAAAGCTTTTGTCGAGCTCACGCTTTCCAACAGCATTCGAGAAGGTATTCAGCAGGTTGGTATCGAATTTTGTACGTCATGTGATTATCTAGACGGGCATATTTAAATTAGAACTATCACCCTTTTTTGTAGCTTATGCGACTATCTGGATTGGGCGCGATGAAGCCGAACACGGTAGTGTTAGGATTCCACGAGGCTACACCCATAGATGTGACCCTGCAGGTGAGTCGCTGCAATTTTCTTCTGAACATGACTTTAGCTCTTGTTTTTTTTTCGCTCTGCTTGCAGTTGGTCCGAAGACGAAAAATCGCCATAGGCTGATGAAAAAGCCCCTCTAGCACCCCTGCGATTCTAAATTTCTGGACTAAATGAAACAAAAGTGAAATATCCGCTCTTAAAAAGTTATCATTTCTCTCTATATTTCTCTTTTTTGATTGTTTGACTCCTGGTCGAAGTACCGCTTTTCGGTCTCAAATGGGAGTTTTGTCACGCTCTACAAATGACTCAAACTTGGGACTCACCAAAAGTGTTGTACTGATGGAGAAACAGTTCTTTCACCTTTTGCCTCACTTATCTCCTTCATAGCATGTCTTGTATGGCAAGAGAAAAGAATATCCTAATTATAACTCATGCTTAGCTATTATTTATATCTGCAATGTAGGCTTCACACCTAGCACGACAGGTGTGGAGACAGGGTAAGCCTCGCAGCTGAGGGACAACGTTATCCACTGTATAGGCAGGTTCATATGTATGTGCACCTATCCGCATAACCTGAGTTTTTTCAATAGATAGCGTGAGGCCGTTTTCTTTCACCCAGCACGCAGTCCTATCATCGCCAACGCGCAGTATATGCATCATTATACTTGTCTTCTACAACTTTGTACAACTTAATGTCGTCCGCATAGATGTTGCAAGATACACCAATATCCTGGAAAATGTGAGGGAGGTTAGCTGTGAAAATGTTGGAATACCGGAGACAATACACCACCCTGAGGCACACCGCTGCATGCCACTCGAACAGTCGACAATGCATCTCCTACCAAGACTTGAAACGTTCTGTTTCTTGAGAATCTTCAATCCAATTTAATATTAGCCGGTGAACACCAATATGGTTTAGCTTGCGAATCAATACCTTGTGTGACAGCCTATCGAATGCTTTACTAAAGTCTAGATAGACTACATCAACATTTTCTCTAGCTTCCATCGCCTTTGTCCAAGCATTCATACAATGTAAGTACCGAAGTTTCCACAGATCTACCCGAACAAAACCATGATGCGAAGGGGGAATAATACTGTGTTTCTCTAAATGCGATACCAGATACTTTTTGATCAATGCTCTGACCAATGTTACTTAAAATATTTAAGGATAATGCCGCTCAAATTGAAGTGCCTTTTCGAAGTGAAGGGCAGACGATGGCGGTAATAGCGGCAGCATACAATACGCTTCTGTCATTACTCAGCCGTTGATGGGTGTGTAGCGTCGCTGGTACGGTCCTACTAAGCCGCTAGGGCATACTCTTCGCTCCGAAATGCGCAACGTTCATCGTCCCGTATCTTAGAGAGCCTGCGTCTCCTTCCGCTGCTTACACTTTTCCTTCTAAAACTCCGATCTTATCGTGGAATTCTTTTTCAAGAGCGCCTCTCGCGATTTGCACTTGGCTGGAACAACCCATCTATGGGCAAGCTAGAATTAGTCGCATTTCGGGGCTCAAAACAGAAGAGCAAATTTGTTCACGAAGATATAGCTCGAAGACACCACCTACCTTGATAGACTTCGAATTCGCTCTTTTCTAAAATAAATTGGCAAAAGGGAGTCTCGTTTGTTCATTTTTTGACTTTTGCACCACTTGATATCACTATTTTCACCCTTCATCGGTTTAACTTATCGCAGTTGCTGTCTCTGATGCTATATGGCGGTACTACAGCCATTGCCTCGGAGAAAGAGAATTCTGTGGCATAAAACGCACAACATGAAATGCTTTATTTTTCAATCCTTAAGGAGTTATTCGAGTTATTAAAACAAGTAGAGAAAAGCTACAACAGAAAAACGTGCATTGTTGTGATGACAATAATGCCAACATTTTAGTGCGTGGATATCTTAGCAGTACTTCAGCTGCAGATGGCAATATCTTGATCTCGTTAAAAGTTGCTTGTTTAGGAGTCTCAACTTCTAAAGGATTTGCGTTATTCAAAGATTGATCGTGCTGCGGTGGTCGAGTACTTCACTGCGGGCGATTTCATGCCTAAGGTTGGTAGTTTCTTGAGCAAAGCTTTCTTATAAGTGTCGCATTCTCTATCGAAAACAAAAGATCAGTTACTTAGTGTGGCGTGCGCCCTCCAAATCATGCTGTTTTATTATGTGGTTACATCTCTTACTAAACTCACTTGAAGGCCATAGTGAACTACCTTTTTCTCTTAAGTGACAGTTTTATGCTCTGAACTTTCTGTTCAGGAATTGAATGGCAATATGGAACGGCTGTCATCGTCAGAATATGTTAATGTTTTGAAAGATGTGCTGCACATGACAAAAAGTTTATGCGTCGCAAGGCACTTTCATAAAATGGATAAGGTTCGTTTACACAAACATTAAACGCGAAGCACTCTTCACAAAGAAACCCTTGAGATTGAAAGGAAGTTTGCTGCACTGGCGATATCGCAGTCCAAAGATGACCCCACTCAGCAGACTGTGTTGGATTGCTCGGGTCATATAAGGGACGCACCCATGTCATTCATTTTCGCGCATGTGAGACTTCTTCCCGGTTTTTATCATATATTTTCTCTATGGCCCATACCATAACCATACCTTCTAGTACACAAATTCTGTTAATATTCTTTAGTATAGCAAAGGTTTTTTGAACCTTACATCTTTCAGCTCAGTGCACTTCGTTTTTTTTTCATTCAAAAATTTAAGCAGTAAGTGTAGGTACAGAATTCGATCGATGGTAAGATATGTTTTGTTTAAGCAATCAAGACAAAAATGTTGTTGCCTTCCGAACAACACGAAGTTCTTCTTTTCCGTTGACATTACACAACTTTTTGACCGGAATCTTTCTGGGTGTTATTATTTACCACTAAGTATTGCTAAAATTGTGTTGTGCTTTTCATATCTTCTATATTTTCCCTCGAAATCCAAATATGAAAGATGAGGCCTTCCCACTCGCAAAATCGCGCAGATTCCAGGCGTTGCGCTGTCTTTTAGGGGTTAAAGGATGTTATCTGGAAAATAAAAGGGTGCTAATCAGAAAAAAAAA